TTTATATGTGGTTCAGAGTTCTGGGACCATCCCCTGAGCCTGCTTGGTTGGGTATTCTGTGTTGTTGTTGGCGGAGCTCTTTACTACACATCCACACAATCCGCCATGTTGTTTGTTCTCCCCGAAATTAAGTTTTGTTGCACATTTTTCTTCTTGTTCTATCATGTATCTTCTGTTGTGTTACTAGTCATAATGGTCAGCAGTGATAGTTGGGTACCTTTTTGATCTTTTGGTCTCAGATTAGAAGTGTGTGAATTACTAATTCTGTGGACTACTTTATTATTTGAACCTCTGATTTCCTTCATTCTCTTTTGCTCCATTTGAGTAGAGATTAATAGTTGTATGTTAGATGACCACTCACAATATCTTACCTCCCTCTCTAGGACAGATTCTAGTGTCTACAATCCTGGTGTGGTTTTCTCAACCCATCCCATCTCCCTTAATATGTATGAGGATTTCTCCCAAGTTCTGGTGTTGGCTCACACTTCAGTCTTTGATTTTTAGTGTTGTGAGTTTTCATCCTTTTTAATAACATCACTAGACTAATGCCTTTTTGCACAGGAAGGCTTGCCTCTGTTTATTTCTTGTTTTTAATAGTCATTGTTGTTGTTGTTGTGAAGTGCCGTCGAGTCGGTTCAGACTTTAGGAGGCTATAAAAGTCACAACTTTTTGAAATGTACTGTCTCTGTATATCTTAGTAGTCACTCATTCATTTATCAAATATGTGTTGAATGGCTGTCGTCCTGTGCCAGGCTGTGTTCTACGTCTTGGGAACACTGCATTGGACAAAGGCAACATTGTCTCAACCTCAAGGAACTAATATTCTGGAGAGGAGAGAAAACAATAGACAAGTACACAAATGAAGAAGATGAATTTTGATAAATTGTTAAATTCTGTGAAGACCGTATACAGACTGATATGACAGGGAGTGTCCTGGGTGCACTGCTTCAGCTAAGGAGGGTCCCGTGAGGTTTCTCTTGAGCGAGTGATGTTTGAGCTGCTGACCCCTGAGTTTTATAAGGAGACCTCTTCCACCTCCAAGTAGAGGAACTGGAGAAGAAGCATTCAAGAAGAGGGAACATGCAAAGCCTCTAAGATTATAATGAACTTGGCTTATTTGAGGAATGGATAATACCCGTGTGTTTTTTGAGGGTAGTGAGCAGGCAAGAGAGGAGAAAGAACTGATGATGTGTATGCTCAGCTTCAAGGCTCGGGCTTAGAGGTAAGTCAAGTAGAGATTTTCCTGTGAATGCAATTAGAAGCCATTTGAGGCTTTTAAGCAGAGTGATGTGCTCTAATACTTGACATTAAAAAGCAAAATAAAATAAAAAAGATTATTACATAAAAATTTAATTCTTTGAATAATACTGCACACACTAACTAGCACACACTGTGCCCCCACCTCCACCACCACCCCCTTTCAGCTGCCTCTGTCGTTTTGGTTCCATCAACTGAATTCCCTTGGAGTGTTAAAAATTAGGAACACTTAAGAGATTTTTCTTTGAGTAACTCTAGTGAAAAGGCTGACAAATAAAAAATTATTTTAAACCTGAAAGGTTTAGTTTGAATTCACATGAGTCAGTCTCCTCTTCAGCCAACCTTTTCTTTATCACTTGTTAGACTGAGAACAGAGTATCAGTATTATCTTGTTATTATATTCTTGTTTGCTCCTTTGAAGAAGACGTTTGGAGGAGGATGTGAAAAGCTTTTATTTTTATAAGATCCTTTGTGTTTTCCTCTTGCTTCAAAATGGTAATTTCTTACCTGCTGTTTTTGGGGGAGCGTGGTTGACTCTGTATCATAAGCTTTGGACTGAGAACCACAAAATTTCTGTCCCACCAGCTCCTCCTCCACAAGAGAATGATGCCTCCACAAGAGAATGATGAGGCTTTCTGCTCTTCTTGCAAAGATTTACAGCCCTGGAAATCACAGATTGGCTATTAGTCACACACAACTGACTCAGTGACACTTAACAACAACAACCTGCCTTTTTCTGTTTTTGTCCTTTTTTCATTTTTTTTTTTTAACTTTCGATCTTTTAGGCAAAGAGCCCTGGGCTCATCTGGCGGTTGTTAGGTGTCAGTGGGGGGACCTGAAAAGAGTAGAACAACCCTGTAGTACTGGCCCCTAATGTAGATGATGCCGTTATCACTCCAGGTGCCGTTTGTCCCCCAGTTCCATGAGAGAGAATGGCACTATTGCTAGGCTAGTACTAGCCAAGGATGAGATTTCTATCCTGAGTTCTGGGATTAATGAGGGTGGGGAGAAGATGGGATAGGGGACATAGAGCCATAAAGATTCACAGGACATTGAAGAGATAACAGCAGACTAATAGATTGTAAATTAGCTGAATTTGAGAACTGCTCTTATCCTAATAAGGATTCCTGGTGACACAGTGGTTAAGCACTTGAACTGAGTAGCTAACTGAAAAGTTGGTAGTTCAAATCTACCCAAAGACTCTGCAGGAAAAAGATCTAGAGATCTGCTTCGAGAAAGGTCCAATCAAAAGACCAAACCCATTGCTATTTGTTTGTTTCCAACTCATGGTAACCCTATAGGACAGAGTAGAAGGGTGCCAACGCTGTAATCTTCACAGAAACAGACGGCCACTTCTTTCTCTCAGGTGGGTTCCAACTGCCCACCTTTTGGTTAGCAACCAACTGCCTAACTACTGAGCCACTAGGGGGAACCCTCTTGGACATGTCTGTCACATGAGGTCATTATGAATTGGAATTGGACTAGAGGGCACATAACAGCAGTAGATTCTAATAGCAGAATAGTATAAGGTAAAGACTATTTCCCTCATTATTAAGCACATTAAAGTATTCTATAACACATCATTCTGAAAACAGTACTAGAGTTGTTGTTAAGTACCGTGGAGTTGGTTCCGACTCATAGCGACCCTGCACAGGGTTTCCAAGGCTGTTAATCTTTATGGGAGCAGAAAGCCTCATCTTTCTCCTGTGGAACGGCTGGTAGTTTTGCACTGCCTACCATTGAGGTTCGCAGCCCGATTCGTTACCACTTTGCTACCAGAGCTCCAGTATTTTATGTATCAGGAATAGAGAGAGGATTAGAAGAATGCTTTTGGGTAGGTTGATGTTTATAAAAGTGCTTCTTGCTCCACTGGAATGACCAGACTGGTCCATAATGAGGTTTCTTGACATCTGATGGCAGAGGGGACCTTGTGCGGTTTAACTGCAAGCACTTTTTCTATACATTTCATCACACCAGTTGGCATTTCAAATGCATTTTGAGCAGCTCGTTTTGGATAGAATTTGACTTTTGGTTTTTACTGGAAATATTTAATTGATTAATGAGAAAAGGAAGAAAACTATCACCTAGACCATTTAACTTGGGTAAAGTGTGATTAATTTTTGTCTGAAGGTAGGGAGAGAAAAAGCCTGTGGCAGTGCTGATACTGATATTATACAGAAGCTGCTTATAAATATGTCATCAGAATCTAATTTGGTTTCCCCTTCAAAACAATCCCCATTTAAATCCACCATGTATTAAGTTGGGCCCACTTTAAGTATGTCACCTTATACAATGAGGTACAAATATTTTTAAGCATTAAATTTTACTTTGGAAAATACTTGGCATCATTCTAGGTCTTTATTTCAGAAAACATCCTGGGATGGCACAGGCCCAAGTCACATTCCACAGAGCAGCTGAAAAACGGGACACTTGGCTCTTTGCCATCATCAGCTAGTACCAACAGAACCTGGGCAGTGTTACCCAACTCCGCTGAAGACCACCAAGCCTTACAGTCAGAGCCCGAGGTAAGCTCCCAGCCCTCACTCACTGCATTCAGAGCCTGTGTTACTGCTTGTCAGAAATACAGTAATTATATTTGTAACTTGCTCATCTCTGTGTTTTAAGAGGAGACAAATTATAAAATGGAAGAAATGCTAGGGAGAGAGAAATCGGCTATGTGCATGCCTGGCACTTCTCTTGTTCATGTGTCTGGCAGCTGTCGTGGGTGAATTGTGATCCTCCGAATGAGGACTCTCCTATTTTCATTGAAATGGGAGCCATTTTAACTGCTAGTTGGGAGAAATTCTACCAGACCCATTAAAATGATGTCTGTTGACATGATGGGAGCAGTTACAATATATTATGTCAGTCCCCAGAATAATGGCTTCTTAGTGTGGTTCATGCTAACACAGCTTCTGCCTCACATGCTTGACTCCTGCATGCTAAGAACCAGGGTGTGGGGGCCGGGGGGCAGTGGTCAAGACTCCTGGTAGGCGTTACAGGGCATTCCAGCCTCAGCTGCAGAGAGTAACTGCCCTGCCTTGTCAGGCAAGAGAAGCCCTTGTAGATCTTACAGACCGGCCAGGCTGTTGTAGTTAGACTTCATGGACTTTATGTCATCTGCCCGACTACTCCCTTGAGTAACTGCAGTTAAGTCCCAGTCACAAAGGGAGCCAAATGCAGCGTTTCCTTTGGTCAATTTTTCTTTGAGTCATGAGTGAATTTTTATTCCTTCTCTTTATTTTGTTGCACATGGTCTCTTGAACTGGACTGAGACCCATTTCACCATGTGTTAGAAAGCATTCTTAATTTTAAGTGAAATCACTTTTCCCTGAAAGTTGTAGGGCACTCACAAAATCAATTTTGTAAAGTTGAAAGGCCTTAGGCAGCTTCGTCAATCCAATGGTCTTGGTCATCAATCAGAATTTTTCTCCAAGCGTTCCGTGTTTATGTTCTCTCACAGTGACTTGGTAGTTCAGCTCTTCCAGAGGCAGTATTGGCCTGGACACCAATCTTTCATCAGCATCTTTTAGATGCCTTCACAGAAAGTGAAAGGAATAGTAACTTAAATTTATAGAAAGCCTTGGGTCTCTACTTACATAAAGAGTTTTTAGGTTGGGGAATCTCACACACACACATGCAGCTGGTGTGTAGATGAGTTGGAAGGTAAGTCTGCAAATATGTAAACGGTAGGAGTCATGTTGTCATACTGTTCTTTTTTGAGAGTCAGCATTGGACAACGGGGATACCCGCTGTTTACAGCCTGCAAAACACACAGTCTCCATTTTTCTCATGGAAAAGTCTTTGGAGGTTCACAGTATAATATACATACTTAAAATTTTTGTTCTAGAGGGAAATTTAAAAAGTTAGAGATATGAGATAGTCAGAAATCATTTTTTCAGATCCTTATTCCCAGCAGCATTTTGGGGCAAAACCAAGTGGGTTTTACAACCTAATAAACTTACTTATTAGGACTGGTTATTTTAACTCCTGAATCCTTCTTAGTGCTTAGCTTTTCCCTGACAAGTACTGACTCTTCTTCCTGATGTTTGGATGGCTAAGTCTTTTCTGTTTATTTAAAACTGTTGTCCTCTTTGGCTTACCAGTTAGCACCATTGGCAGAAAATAGTGTATAATGGCCCACAGATAGTTCCTGAGTCCAGCTTCTGAGAAAACACCCTGAAAATTAATAACTAGGGAGGTCTTTTTCCCTTAATTTAGGAACAGTCATTAATTTCTAGTTGTCATGTTTGCCCTTACTTCTTCTGTCAGAACAATATAAGATATTATTTGGTAATTCTTTATAGCAATGAAAGATGTTTGGGTCATGATGCTGCTTTGATGATTTTCTGAGACAAGACAATTGAAGTTCTTTTGTAAAGACTCTCCTCATCTTTTCCAGTGACAACTCTGGTAGATCATTCATGCAATTCGGAGTGTTGCTTGGACACTATTTTTCTTTTAGGTCATTATAGTATGTCTTTTTTGTGTGTGTCTCAATAGTTGAAGAAGTCAGCAATATGCACCTAATAGTTTTACTGTCAAAAGAGGGAAAATGTTTCCATTGCTTCCCTTTTCTACAATTTGAGGAAATAACTCAAGAAGGAATGAAATGAAATTTCCTTAGGGAAAGGTTCCTTAAACCTTTTGATATATAGAATATAGTTACTTATGCAAGGAATCTGTTGAGCAAGTAATTTTAAGAATTGTTGTTAGGGTGGCATTGTAGTTAACTGAATTATTTTCCTCTGGTTTGTTGTTTTAATCATAGTAGATCTTTGTACTAATAATACATTAGAGTACACAAGATTTTTACTGCCCCTGATTTTGTCTTTATCATAAAATAACTTATAGGCATCTGTAAATAATAATAATAATAATGCATTTTCAAGTTTAGCTTGTTTACTTTCCAGAAGATAAAATCTCTAAGGCCAGTGTATATTTAATACATGAGTTAATAGATTTTTGTGGTTTCCTCTGTTATCAAATGAAACGATCTTGAAGTATTATTCTTCTGGGGCCAGAAGTAACTAAATGTGAAAATGAAATATTCTTCTATAATGAAATCAGGTAGAATCTTGGCTTTACCCATTAGTATAACAAGTTTTCAACTCTCTAATACCATTCAAAACTTAAATTTAGATACAAAGGGTTTTTGTTGTGCTTTCCTGGTTGAAGAATACCTTGTTTAAGGACAGAAGGGTGGTGGTGTGGCATTGACTTAAGGTTGGCCTCTTGATCTTCATGCTACCCTCCTGATTGGAGAGACTGGTAACCTAAAAACACCACATCCCAGACTTTCTTGAGCGAGGTTTCTCCATGCAAAAACACTGAGAGGCATTTGTGTGAGATTTGAAAACCTGAGATGGCGATCGGCTGCTCACAGGCATGTCCGTGGGGTCTGAGTGTTGAGGGGCAGTTGCAGTAGCCAGACGTGGTATTCTAGGTCTTAGTTTAGTCCCACCTGCATCAGTGAGAAGCTACATGATCATGGTCATAGCAGCTTCCTCACTTTTGGATCATAGTTACATACAATCAACCTTTCATTAATTGTGTAAATGCCTAATGTCTTATATCAAGTCCCTTCAGGGTGATTTCTGTTTCCTGCATTGAATCATGATTGGCTGGACTGTTGGAATATGAGACATAATGTCATGTGGAGCCAGATCTTAAATGACAGTGGTCACATGTGACCATGTACACTCACGTTTATGGAAGTTAGATCTGAGGAAGAAAACCTTAAATTAAAACAACAACAACAACAAAAAAACAGATTGGCAACAGTGGGCTCAAACATAACAATTGTGAGGCTGGCACAGAACTGGGCAGTGTTTCATTCTATTGTACATAGGATCATTATGTGTTGGAACTGGCTTTACAGCCAGCACCTAACAACAGTGACACCAACAACAATTTGCACATGCTCCTGATATGGCGCTGTAGGATGGGCACTGTGGACCACAGGTCAGCCTATGAATTGGAACCAACTTGATGGCACTTAACAATAAAAACACACTTCTAAGAGTCCTGGTAGTGTGGTGGGTAACAAGGTGGGCTGCTAACCAAAAGATCAGCAGTTTGAAACGACCAACTGTTCCAAGGGAGAAATATGAGGCTTTCTGCTCCTGTAGTGATTTATAGCCTCGGAAACCTTATGCAGGGTCGCCATGAGTTGGAACCAATTCCATGGCACACAACCATCAGCACCATCACACTTCTCTCTATTTTGCCAAATTAAAGTCACAACCACCAACCGCACCCCCTCCCCCTCCCCCCTTCCCAATTCCAAATTTCCTCAATGTCTCATTATCATCAGCCCTTTCCCCAAACCCTTGGCAACCAAACGTCTGTTTTTTGTCCCTGGTTTTACTGTCTCCAGAATGTCATACAAATGGAGTGATGTAGTATGAGACCTTTTACTAAGCATGAGACGTTTGAGATTTATCCATATTGTTGTTAAGTAGTTCATTCCTTTTTATTGTGTCCAGTTTATTCATTCATCATTGAGGACATCTGGTAAGCCTCAAGTTGTTTGTTTTTTAACCCCTCTGTTGTTGTTGTTAAGTGCTGTTGAGTCAGTTCTGACTTATAAAAACCCTATATAGGGTTTCTGAGGAGTGACTGATGGGTTTGAAGCACCGACTTTACAGGAAACAGTTCTGTCTGTAATCTACAGCACTGAACCAGGACTCCTACTGATGTTATTAGGTGCCATCAAGCAGATTCCAGCTCATAGTGAACCCACATGACAGAACTGCCCCATGAGGTTTTCTAGACTATAATCTTTATAGGAGGAGCCCTGGTAGTATAGTGGGTTACTAGTTGGACTACTAACTGCAAGTTGAACAGTTCAAAACTAGCAGCTGCTCCACAAGAGAAAGCTGAGACTTACTGCTCCCACAAAGATTTACAGTCTAGGAAGTTCTCTACAGGGACAAACCTGTTGCTGTGAAGTCGATTCCAGTGTATAGCCACCTTATAGGACTGCCCCATAGACTTTGTAAGGGCGTAATCTTTATGGAAACAGACCACCATATCTTTCTCCCATGGAGCAACTGGTGAGTTCAAACCGCTTACTTTTGGGCTAACAGCCAAGCCCTTAATCACCGTACCACCAGGCCTCCTTTTAACTTATCAAGTAACACAGAAATGTTGTTGGGTGCTGTTGAGTTGGTCCCACCTCATAGCAACTCCATGTGCCACAGAACAAAACACTGCCCACTGCTGCTGTTACTGTGTCCCTCATTAAGGGTCCTCCTCCTTTTCACTGACCCTCTACTTCACCAAGCATGATGTCCTATTCTAAGAACTGGTGCTTGCTGATAATATGTCTAAAGTAAGTGACATGAGGTCTTGTCATTCTTGCTTCTAAGGAGCATTCTGACTTGACTTCTTCCAAGACAGATTTGTGTGTTCCTCTGGCAGTTTCTGGTATATTTGATGTTCTTCACCCATACTATAATGGAGCCCTGTGGTGCAGTGGATAAGTGTTTGGGTGCTAGCCTAAAGGTTGGCAGTTCAAACC